AGTCTTTGTTCAAATACTAGTGCTAGTGGGGATTACCATACATGGAGGATGTGTCCCCCCTCCTATTGGTGGAGGGATATAATCTAATGATGATTACATCATAAGCTTGCACAATACACATTAATATGTAAAAAAATCTTCATGGCAGTGGCAAGAAATGATAGTTCTTTGTTGTGCAGAGAAGTAAGTAAACATTTCTAAAAAAAAAAAACATTTATAATTTTAAAAACTTAACTTAGGCTTGTATCGGAGAACTATGCAAAAATTAATATTTTTATATAAAAAGTACAAAAAAAAATGTTCAGATTTCAATTTCTGTTTTTAAGTTTACAGATTTTACGAAACGTAAGAGACTCACCACTGAAAACAAACTGAGAATCTGGACTAAAAGAAGCTTCTAATGGAAGTCCCTTGTTGTTTATATGACCCTAAAAAAGTAAAAATAACATTTCTTTGATTTATAACGCCTTATGCTGATGACACTTGATCTGTTGTTCATCAGATGGTTTATAAAACTTCAACAAATAACTTATCTTAAGTAACACAAGTGCCAAGGTAAAAATTTAAGTATTAAACATTATTTTTTGTCAGTACAAGTGTTAAAAAATATTATCTATTCTCAAAACTTTTTAAGGAGTAACAAAAATATCTTGGTACTTGCAGGCCTAACTGTTCATAACAAAAGAAAACTGACACCAGAGGTCTACACCAAAGAAGATATAAAAATAAAGCTAACTTGACAATTATTTTAAAGTAGAACCTTATGTCTTTAAAGGTTATGTAATGTATACTTCTAACTTTAAAAACAAGTGCAAGCTCACAGCAATTTAAATATGAGAAATGACACAATATACCAACAAAAATTTACTTCAAGCTTAAGGGTTAGGTTTCTAATAAATGCCATTTCTCACCATCAATGTTTGTAGTGGTTTTCCTTGGAAGGCATCAATTAAATGTATAACCTGACCATTAGTAGATATAAGAATCATCTTTCCATCAGGACTAAACTTCAATCCTGTCCAATCACAATCTTTGTCTTGTGGAAGCTTAAAACTGTTAAATGGGCCCTAAAATCAGAAAACAAAGTTTTATCAAAACCTCTAACACCAGCTTGGAATACTGAACTAATATATAAGATTAGCTTCATCTTGTTATACCTACAGTTTAGCTTCATCTTGTTATACCTAGAGATTAGCTTCATCTTGTTATACCTAGAGATTAGCTTCATCTTGTTATACCTACAGTTTAGCTTCATCTTGTTATACCTACAGTTTAGCTTCATCTTGTTATACCTACAGTTTAGCTTCATCTTGTTATACCTAGAGATTAACTTCATCTTGCTATACCTAGAGTTTAGCTTCATCTTGTTATACCTACAGTTTAGCTTCATCTT